GGGGGGGGGGGGGGGGGGTATCTGAGCTGGTGGTGTGTGTCATCCATTCTTTCTTGGATTTGGAGGTTTAGGTCAGGATCAAAGTGACTCCATGCACAAAGATGCCACTGACTCCCACCTAAAACCCAGTAATACCCATTAAATATGCACATAATACAAGAATATTACAGCTTAGATATCTGGGCTCATTCAGGGCGCAGTCATGTCATGTGAAAACTGACTCTAAGAGTCTCCAAGCTACATTTTCAATCACAGTAAACGTGAAGTTTTAATTTGTATTTGTCAGAGTTTTCAGGTTATTTAATTTTGCCTGAATGGAGTGATTTCTTTTTAATCTGTGCATGCATTATGTCACACTCTGTTCACTGTCAATCTCCTGACACCCACAGGGAAAAAGGGCGGTCTTCGCCACAAACTAATCCCTTATAAACATGTCACCTTAAAAACTTTACTGTCACGCCCTGTCATCTTTGAGAGCACCACGGCAAGTTGACTGTACCATTCGCTATATCAGAGTTTGCATAAACACCACTCAACTTCAACTTTATGCAAATGAGTAAGTCCAACGCAACGCAGCAGGCTCACGAAGCTCAGATCAAACTAGGCAACGCTGATTAAATATGAATCTATTTCTCTCTCCAGATGTTTTCAGAACCATATTTTAGTGTACTGTTTAGCCTTTCAGTCCCATCACCCACCAGCATGAGCGCTCAGTGGTCCGGTGCATCCAGATGCGGTCCTCACTGGATTCTGTATGTCTGCACCATTAGACACGGCGGTGCTTTGAGCTAAATGCTAATGTTAGCATGCTCACAATGACAATTCTGATGTTTAGCAGGTATCATGTTTATCAATGTTACTTTAGCATGTTACCAACCAACTTGGATATCGATAGAGCCACGCTGCTAAAAATGTTACAGAATTCTAAAAGCAAGCAAAAAAGACGGATGATAATAATATTTGACCACTGTTCTCCTTTAAAGTAATAGCAAGTGTAACCAGTAATAAGTAGAACAGTTTGGACTTTTTAACCATCTTGATTTATTGCAATATTCCTGAAGATACCAGTTTCTGGGAACCATAACAATGAAACAACAAAAACATTATAATCCCCCACCCAAAAACAGTACAATTGAATCCCATCACAAATTGTCATAGCATTTAGAAATGTATAATTTAATAGAAAGCATCAGTATAAATTGGAGTTTTGACAGTATGGACAAGAAATGTCTTCAAGTTGGTCATCACAGAGTCAGAAAGGATCCTTTTACCTATTATAACCAAGTCCTTATAAACCAGCTATTTCAAACTTAAAAATTAAACTTAAAAACCCCCAAAACTAAACCAAAAAAGAAAGAATATGCAGAAGAATATCCTGTTATTGCAATACAACTCACTTACTTCTAAAAGTCCAAGTAAAGTGGAGTCTTATCTGCTGCAGAAACAAGTCAGAATATCTCGCTTTATCTCGAAAGCACTTAGCTTTTTGTACAAATGATGATGATGATTTGGATTTAGTGATAAAACAATCTTTGCTGACATAAGATAAATAAAGATATTTATAGTGTTTCAACCTATTAGACTGTAAGAGAGTGTATGGATGCCTGCTTCTTGTTGGTCAGACCTTGGCTTCACAGAAAGCTTTTACTGTTTCCAGACTCGTTGGGATTAGACTGTAGTTTGTTAGTCGTCAGTGGCAGTGGGCAAGTCTGTGTGTATGAAGATTATGTGCCTTCCTCTCCGCCTGGCTGGGGATCCTGGAGGAAAAACACAGATAAAGGCACTGTGAGGGATTTTCACCATCTGCTATCAGCGCTCTCAGAGCTGCTGACCCCTGAGAGGCAGCAGGAGGACCAGGAGGACACTATTCACTGAGAAGAAATCTAAGATCTGGTTGATCCATCACCTGCTTTCTCTCTGTACTTATCTCTCTCTTGACCTTTTTCCATTTATGTTTCTCTCTGTGTCTTGAGGTCCCTCACCGTCTGTTTATTTCCATCTCAAAGACTTGAGTTTTAGTCATAAAAACCCTTCTAGGAGGCAGTGCTGGTATTCAGGCTTTAAGTTAAACATCAGTGGATGGAGCCACAGCTACAGTGTTGCTAGTTAAGTGATGCTACAGTGAAGCCGAGTGAAAAATACAAGAGACTCAGAGAGACTCTAATAATATAAAGCCTAGGACTGGTAGCTTAAAAATAATGCAGTCCCATGCAAAATTGTGTGTTACTTAGCTTAGCATTATATCTTTTTGATTTATTTTTAACTACTACCCTGTTAACTACTGTATGTTCATTTTGCAGTTAATGTACAAATCAGTGCATTAAGTGATATATTATTTGGCCAAAAGTAAGTGGACACCCCTGTTCACATAGAGTATTTTTGGTCTGTGGCTCTTTTGCATGGTAGGGTCAGACATACAATATTTTAGACAATTGTGTGCTTCCAACTTTGCGGCAACAGTTTGGGGAACGATCATCCTTGATTTAACTTGACATTGCCCCCATGCACGAAGCCAGGTCCACAAAGAAATGGTTTTCCCAGTTTGGTGAGGCCCTGGCCCAGACCTGCACCCCATCCAACACTTTTAGGATGAACTAGAATGCCAACTGCAAGCCACCCAACATCACTAATGCTCTTGGTCACAACATCTGTTGAAAAGCCTGAAACCAGAGGAGTGGAGGTTGTAGCAGCATATTCATGCCCACATGGTTTTGGGACCAACTGAGTGTCATGTTTGAGTGTCCAAATACTTTTGCACCATGTAGTGCAAAAGACACGAGCTGCAGGATGTCAACCAAGCTGCAACTTTGAAATTAACACCATTAGTTAAACTTGGTGAAAGCAAAATGTCTTGTTTTATTTTATTGATTTTCTGCTTCCTGAGGTTGTGTTTTGCAGCTGTGAGTAGCGGCTCTATTTTGTTTGTGCATTGCATTGTGGGACATAAAGTGTCCTTCAGAAATCAGGTGAATGTAGTATGCTGCCGCTGACTTTTCGGAGTAATTCTGTCACTTTCCCAAAGTAAATTCATACTGCGAACCCATTTAGAAACAGCACGTTGTATTATTTTTTTCTCCAAAACCGCTCTGCCTCACAAAAGAGAAAAACGTGTTTATAACTAAAACTTGAACCAGATTCTTCTTCTCTCTCTCATTTATCTCCTACACAGCACACCCACATGGTTTGGGCAGGGCAGAACAGCCACACTGTTTGGATATTGTGGTTTCTGTGTCCCGCTGAGAAAGTCACAGCACAGACTGCCCCACAATGCTCACACACACTTCCAAAACACACACACACACTCCTATAAAGTACAAATATAGAGCCTGACTCAACCTCTCCGGCCCACACACAGAGGCATCAACACACACGCTGCATGACCCAAACAAAGACTGTGCAGCCCACACTGACCCCCTGTGGTGAGCTCCAATCATTGCAAGTAATTATTGTGGAGTTTCGTCACTGATGACCTCCAGGATCTCAGCATTTATCACACTGTTACAGAGACATAATGAAAGGTTTGGATGTAAAACATTAACTGAAAATAAAATCCTCACTTTTCTCTCATAAAATGTCAAATTTTAGATTCACTTCATATGCAGGGGTAAAAACATTTCTACTTAAGACCAGGTTCCCATATATTTTAAGGACATATAATATGATTAAAAACACCTATTTGTTTTCACGTACCCAAGGTTTTGGTTTTTAATTTATTTTGTTATGTAATTGTATTTGTGCCTTTATAATGGGATATTTTGGGGACATTTTGAGGGCATACATTATTATTACATACATAAATTATGATTTGTAGAGATGTTATTATAGTGCAAATCGAGCTTGTGCTGGCTTAATATATTTGCTATTATCCCAATAAGTGCACAATAACCTCACAAAATAGATTTTTGTCGGCTCAAACTAATATTTTTCCGTGGTGATGATACTATCTCTACAAGATATAATTTACATGCTTGCTCAAAATTTCCCATCACGTTGTGCCTCAGGGCTGGGGCACAAATATAATGCCATAGGTTTTGAGATTTCTACCTCATTACCTCAATACACTGCAGGTCGACATTTAAAGCATTTAGAAATCCGGCAGCATCTCTTAGTTGCAGACTAATAGTTGCCTTTTACTCTGGACAACCTAGCAATCACAAGATTAGGATGAAAATGGCTGCTGTGCTTTTAATAATAGCATAACAAAAAATGCACTAATCCTAGTTAATTAGTTTCCCTTATAGATTACCAAATACCATGATATAATGTATTTGCACCTTTACTACAAAAAGCTTTCTGTTTTAATGTTTTGTATTTGCCTTATGTTTGTGTTTTTCTTTTTATGAGAATATTAATTGTAAATAAAAACACTGGCCAAAAAACAACCTTAACCAATAAGGTAGAACATGCAGCCTGTCTGTCACTTGAGAGGTGAAACTTGGAGCAGAAATATTGTACTTGGAGAGAACTAGGTAAGAAATGGAGTAAAAATATCAACCTGAAACTATAAAAGAGGTAAAAGAGATTTAAGTCTGCACTTCTGACTATCCAGCTGCTATAATCCAGATGACAGAAGCTCTGAGTTGGTAAATCATTATTGTGCACTCACTTACTGAGCAGCAGCAAGTGTTTCTGGGCTTTTTAACACAGAAAATAGTGAAAAATACCTGGTGCTATTTCCCACAGCCCGAGGTGATGTACTTTGAAAGCTTGTTTTATTGCGCCAACAGTCCAAACCGCAGAGATATTAAGCTTTTTATCATATATGAGAAAGAAAGGCATACAATCCTGGCATTTAAAAAGCACTGAGAAAATTTCACCCATCCAATACTCAGCATTTTTGCTTAGAGAAATTGAGTAATCCATAAAGAAAATAATTATTAGTTAGCCCTAACTAAAATTAGTTTGACCTTTAACGACTGCAATGGTAAAAATGCTGCATACATACTGCTGCATTTTGATCAGAATATTTCCTCCAACGACACAGAAGCTGCTCTGTGTATGTAAAACCTGTATTCGTAGAGTTAGATAGTTATTTACTGATTTCAGACTGGACGGGATTTGCATCATTCACAAAGACGTTGACTTAGTTTGTAAACTCATCTTGCCGTAGTTTGGTTCTGATTTGCATTTTTCTCTTTGGGCCCTTTAAGCCCCAAAAGAGCTGCATCCAATATTTACAGCCTTAGTAAAATGTTATCATGAGTATCTGTTACAATACATACACAAATCACCTGTTGATAAGACACACCTGTACAATCTAATGAAACACAACATAACAGTCCCTCAGTAAATCCTTTAAGGTTAAAGTGATAAGGTTTTTTTGACACTTTCAAGCTTTAAAAAGTACTGAAACAACAACAGATCATGACTTTAATCATATTTTTTCTTCATATTTTGGATATATACCCCAATATTCAGTCTGGTTCCTAGAGATTAAAAACAGGCTTAACATTGTTGGATAATTTTAATACTTGATAATTTGTCCTAATTTTATGAGAATTACATTTCTTACATAGATACTGTACAGTTTATTGTCTGTGAATTACTTTTTGGCTAACTAAATTAATATTTTTGAAAAAAGTATTTCCTTATTTGATGTAATAACAATGCTTTATGGTCATTTCAGTATTTTTTCACTTTCATCCAATGTGTAAGCCCAGGTTGAAGCCAAGGAAAGGGTAACCACTTTTTACATATCAGGTTTTAATGAGGTCAGAGGAAAAGAAAGAATGATTTAAAGAAATAAAAATGGTTGATAAGTGGGGTCTGTGGTACCCCAAAAAAATGAGGAAGAGGATATTCAGGGGTGTTCATATGACTATGACCACCTACATGTTAATCCTTGGTGACCCATCGTAGTTCGCTCTTGACGTTCTGCAGCTCTGATAGGTTAACAGCAGGACCAGGCAGTTTCACCGCACCCGGCAACGCCTTCTTCTCCTCCGGCGTAGGGGCCGCAGCACATGGCTGGTCTGGTGAATGAGCCTGAGAAAATATTGAAGAAATATAAAATTAATACAAACAGAAGTAAAACTTGGCAATATGTACAGTGTTGACCTATTTGGTCATACTGTTTTCTGTACAATGAAGCTGTATTATACACCGGTCAGCCATAACATTATGACCACTGACTGGTGAAGTGAATAACACTTCATCTACATCTGGTTATCATGGCTCCTGTCAGTGGGTGGGATATATTAGGCAGCGAGTGAACAATTTGTCCTCAAAGTTGATGTGTTAGAAGCAGGAAAAAAGGGGCAGCGTGAGAATTTGAGCAACTTCGATGAGGGCCAAACTGTGATGGCTGGACGACTGGGTCAGAGCATCTCCAAAACTGCAGCTCTTGTGGGTGTTCCCGGTCTGCAGTGTACCGATCAAAGGTGGTCCAAGGAAGGAAAGAATCATGGGCTGCCAAGGCTCATTGTTTGGGGAGCGAATGCTGGCTGTGTGGTCCGATCCAACAGACGAGCTACTGTAGCTTAAACTGGTGAAAAAAGTTAATTCTGGTTCTGATAGAAAGGTGTCAGAACACACAGTGCATCCCAGTTTGTTGTGTATGGGGCTGCAGAACATTAGGACCACCAGGGTGTCAGTTATCTGTTTGCTTTTATACTTCACCAATCAGTCCTCATAATGTTATGGCTGATTGGTGTATGTATGTGTGTGTATTGTCTCACCTCTTCTGTTTCTACTGTCTCCTCTCTCCTCTTGACAGGATGTCCCGCCCCTGGACGCAGAGCTCCCATCGGGATGTTCAAATTAGCCTGACGGACAGCAAGAACAGCCAATGAGATACTATCAACACTTAAATTAATAAAGTTTCCTGTCTCTGTGTCTCTGCACGTGTGTGTCTGTGTGTACTCCTGCTGTTTCCTCAAAACCCCTCGTTTTGATTATGACCACGACTTCCTGGTTATCCTCATGTCCCTTAAAGAGCAATGTGTCTTTATGAAAATTGAGACGCACACACACACATTCACACACACACAGAGCTCCGAGATCTGCCTGCTAACTCGATGTTCTACTGCTGCCTGCCCTGACGTCCTGTCACTTGGATTTGGTGTGTTTTGCATTGTACTGTACTGTAATGTATTGTATATATGCTCATATTGTACAGCTGTACAGAGAGGGAGTGTGGTTTAGAGATTAAACGGAAAGTTGTGGAAGAAATCGCCTCATTCGCAGCATGTTTGCTCAGATTTGTGTCACTGTAATGTTGCTTTGGCTGGTGATTGTTCACTGTCTAATGCTTGGCGTGCTGTTTGCAATCATCTTCTGACATTCCACTGGGCGAAACCAAAGGTTAAAGGAATATTTCACCCTCGGTTGAAAATTCAATCACAGTTTGACATTTTGCTCTCTTGCACAGAGTTAGATGAGTAGACCGATACCACTCTCATATCTGTCTCTGACATGACACTAACTTAGCTTAGCATAAGGGCTGCTAACAAGGGGAAGAAGCTAGCCTGGCTCCGTCCAAACTTTTATAACATTCTACCAGCACCTTTAAAGCTCACTAAATAATAGGTTAAAATTAGTTTGTTCCATATGTAAATATAAATGTTTGAACATCGGTCAAAGCCGGGCTAGCTGTTTCCACTTTGCTTATACTCTTTATGCTAAGCTAAGCTAATTGCCTCCTGGCTGTAGCTGCACAGAGTGGAGTGATCTTTTCATTCACTCTGTACACACTCCATATACAGTAAAACCAAACACACACTGAAATAGCCCCTGTACTGTAATTTCACCTCAGCCTCCCCACATTACTAAAGGACCATACAAGTGTGTCTGCAAGTTTTTGTTCTTTTAAGGGGCACTAAAGTGATATAGCATTGCACTGTAAAGCTGGGGACTCTCAAAAAATAAGTTGTGCAATGTTACTGCAATTTAAATGCAGAATTGAGAAGTGAAAAAGCCCTAATGATAATGTAACTTTGACAAACATTTATGCAGACTTGATGTTCACAGTGATGGAGAGCTAATTTAGCATTCCCAAATCTACATTAAAATGTCAGTGAACACAGCTGTTATGTAAAGTATATGTGATTTATACTCTCCTAAATCTTCACCAGCCAATGCAGATCTCTCAAAGTGTTTTGAAGCCAAACAGTTGTACTGAGTGCCCAAATATTTACTTATTTATCATCTTTATTCTTCTCCCCCTACTTTAGGATGCATATGTGTTAGAGAGGTAAATATTGGACTTTGGGACCTGTTCTGGAAACATTTGGACACACAGTGCTTTAATTGTGATGCACAAGCTGTTTTAATTTAATTTAATAGTTCTTTTATGTTTGTTTTTTAAGCTATAGAAAGATGGTACTGGCTATGTATGTGGAAGGAGGCTGAGGTGGAGCTACAGAGTGTAACTGGCTGTATGATGATCAATCCTGCAAACTTATTTTGAAGGTGAACTGATCCTTTAAATCTCGCCCCCTGAGTAAACCTGCTGAAAGTGTTATGTGAACATGAAGGAGAAATCTAGATAAGGATGGAACACCAAAAACTTCAGGGACAGCAGGGTAAGTGTCGTTCATTCAGTCACTTGATTTGTCCCTAATTACTTTGGCTGAGATGTGAGACACCCCTGCCCAAATACCTTTTATCGTTAATTGTATTGGTGGGGTACATTTATCGACTGTAACGGCCATTATAGCAGCGACTCAACACATTTTGGTGGTTGTTTTCTATTTTATAGTTGTTGGGTATAAAACATAGTGTCCAGTGTAAAAGGAGATCTGTGGGAGTCATTAGCCTCTGTGGCCAGAAGAGAAATCAGTTCTGCACAGGCAGTTTGGTTTTAAAGGTCCATGCTGGTGTTTGTGCAAGATTTAGTCCTTAAACCACAACTCAGAATTAATTTACATTATTCTCAACCATATTCAAAAGCATATCAACAGTTTTTAATAGATTTTCTGCCTTCCAGACAGCTCCTGTTTTCCAATCATTTCTTGAAAAATGCATTAATTATTATTATTATTCCACTTAAGTGTTCCAGCTGTCTTATAGGTTAGGGCTATTGTTACCTGTCGTACCACCTGCTGCACTATTCTGCCCCACAATGCAGTATACGCTGTTGTGTTAAGAGTAGAATCTGACTTTTTATTTGATATTTTTTACCTTATAAAATACTATACGTGTATAATTTAATTTCTATATATTAATTAGTCATATACATCTTGTTTTGTTTGCTTATTTAGTCAAAAGCATACTAATGCTGCATGCTGCACTGATGATGGTTTTAAGAACACAGTTAGTATTTGAGAATCTGCAGCCAATCATGTGCTATGTTAATAGAAAATCACACATTGTTAATGGGATTGTGCAAATCTCTATATTGTCTGTGTTTGAAAGGCTGAAGTTCAGCACTCTTAAATCTTGGATTGCACTATATTAAACACAGTAAGGGAGGGTTCACATTACCTTTATTACCTGAAACAGTAAGAATAGTGTTTCATACTGTAGTGATTAAATGGAAGTCTATAGCTGTCTGGAAAATAGGATTCAGTTTGACAGAGATATGGTATGCTTTTGAAAATGATGAAATTAGATAAAAACTAGCCTTATATAAGACATGGAACTTTAAAGAAAGTTTTTTTAATGAAACTGTTATACATTTATACTGTAACGCTGTGCTGCTGTTCTTGTTTGTGATTAACGTTATACTGATGATGCAGTGGTGAGATGGAGACTCAATGAAGAACCTCATGTTTGTAATGTACTGGTGTTTAAAAATACTCTGTTCAGATGCCTATCCCATGGTTAGACATGACAATGAGCACAAAGAGAAGAGAGATGACGGAAGAAACCCTCTCTGACATGCACTCACAAAGCCATTACAATAGAAACACACACACATTCACACAAACACAGTGATACAGACAACTCCTCATTCTTTGCCTCGCTACAACTCTGCACTAACAAAGCCTTGATACTGTATATGCACAGTCTGAACTCTGTATTTGCCTTTGCCAATAAATACTTAAATGTGGAAACACCTGTCATCTGGATTTTATTTCTAACAGGAGTTATTATGCCATTTGGTTGAAGCTTTTAGCAAATTGTATCCTTGTAAAACCTTGTTTATAGTTGTCAGGGTAGAAATCAAGCACATGGCAGTGTTATTGTCTTCTTGTGCCTATAGACCACAAAACTTTGACATTAATTAAAGTAGCAAAATAATGTTCCATGCAGGAGACACACACTCATGCCTTACTATGCACACAGATAAAAAACTTTTACCTGAAGGGCCTTAACGTTGGACGAAGGTTTGGACATAATCCCCCCGGTAAGTCCACTGACCTGGAGGAAGCACAGATCATAGACATTCAGCTGTGTGTATTTGTGTGTGCATGTTGGGGGCACTGGGACTCTGTTTCTGTGGTTTTCAAGGCCCGGGATAGCATTTCAGTTGCTTAGCGACTCTTACAGAGAGACGCAGGTAGAGGAACTGTTCTCTGAATCATTCATGAGAGGGAGACATAGGGACACTGGGGAATGTCAAAATAAAAGCGCCTCAGTTTCAGCAAAGTGTGGGAGAGAGGAGGTTTGCATTGAGTATAGCAATGTATGGAAATATTAATCTAAATGCATTTCACCTACATTTACTGAGGAGGAACAGCAGTTTTAATGGCTTAATAATAGGTTTATTAATAACAGTGGCTTCAATTCAAATCTCAACAAAACACATAAACTCTCTCATTCTGGAACAATTGTATTTTTTTCTTATTGTCTGTGGAAACCAGCCCAAAGGTCATTCATTCCTACTGAAGAGAAACCTTTAAAACGCGAGAAATGTTAACCCTGTGTTCTGTAGAAAAGACGTTCATGTGCAACTAATTTGCAACAGCATTAATGTGTAGAAGGAAACAGCGCCTGAGTAACATTGTTTAGGAGCACTGTTAAATAATGTATTTTCCAAGTTGAAAAAATGTTGATACATCACATGCATCAGTAAAAGGTTTACTGACAACTGTTTTACAAAAACGTAATTTCAGGACAGGGTTAATATGTCAGAAATCCCTTCCCCATTCACCTATACTTCCTATAACCTATTCACACAATAGTTTGTAACCTATAGTAAACAGTTTTTTTTTCCTTACTTCCTGCCTCCCTTTTTGCTCTTTCACAGATCAACACTGTCCCAAGTGGTTCCTAATCGTAGAAGTTTCCATGGCCTATTTATCTTATCTGCGAGTGGGCCAGAGCAGAGGACCAAATAAACCGAGCAAGTCCCAGGCCCTCCGGTTGCTGCTGCTGCATTTGATGGCAGCGCTTAGATACCGTTTCCAGGGTGCTGTTTGTACAACAACATACAGTAAGGGCTTTGCTGTTCTTGACATGAGAGTAAAAGCCTGGACACCTCAAAATACACAACCACAGACACACTCATGCTAACACTACGGGAGGATATTTATGTTGGCCATGAGTAGCAGCTGCCTCCGGACGCCACACTCCAAAGCCTGACAAGCCCTTTTACTTTTACGAGCACTGTATTTGCACACACACACACACACACACTTAAAAGCTCATAACAACAGGTACAATTATTCCTCATAGTTTAAATTATTCAAATCTTCAAACATTGAAACCATTTAAGGCTCTGTGCAGACACCGAACAAAAAGGCCCTTTGAGGTACAGTGTGTGTGTATGTGTGTGTGTGTGTGTGTGTTTGTATACATGTAACACAGGTGTGACCAATGATATGAGTTATGCTTCTGTTTCATTTAGCATAGCAGAGTCTTTCAAGTGAGACAACATGCACAATAGCAGCACCCTGACTCTGTTCGACCTGAATGGAACCGAACCTTAATTAGGATCATTGGTAACACCTGTGTTTACCCTACTATTGCATGTCAAAATGGCTGCTCTGAAATTAGGTCTATAGGGCATGTTTATGGATATTCATGGTCCTCAGACAGCATGTCAACACTGTCATTTTAAGCACATTAGCATATTAAAGTAACGAGCCTCTAAGCCGTAGTCTTGTTTCCTTGTAAACAAATCCTGTGAAAGGAGCAAAAACAACAACCAACTGTACTGTAGCTTTTGGGCAGCCAAAGCCTTACATAAGTTAAATATAACTTATTCCTTTACCATTGTTGTTTAAAAACACACAAATAAGCCACACTGTTGCTCTGGAAAAGAGAACTAAATTATATATTTGTGACCTAATTTAACTAATTAGTTAGGTCTCCTTTGTTGGTTCTTTATAAATACTGAAATTTACACAACAAGTTGTGTCCTGGCTCGAGCCTTATGTTTAGTACAAAAATGAGATTGGTGCCATTGTTTTCATGTAACTCTCCACAAGATATCTAATTAGCGTTAAACCATTCCTTTAAGGATTTTCACTTAAGTGGGAGCCAATAAGCATTGGGGCTGAGCGCCACAGACAGCGAAGGAAAGGTGAAAGTACTGAGAGACACACAAAGATTTGTTGATGATAAGAAATAAAGAAAACTAAAGAATATTGCCAGCTTTACCTTTTCAAAATAAAATAGTCTCAAATAAAGGTCAACTTCATTTCTCTGTTGCTAAACACTGATGAGTGTCCCTGTAGGTTATTGGAAACTTCTAGACTGTTCCTTTAAAAAACTACACAATGCTGATACATTACATTACATACACTAATATCCTAAACCTACCTGCCATTCAAACACACACACACACACACACACACACAAATCAATAACTTACCTGTTGATGACAGACTACTGTATCGTCTAATGCTTGGTTTTACACACACCTGGACTCCTCTCGCTTGTTCACTTACACTTTCTATCCATCTCTCACACACTTGTTTTCACCTACTCCATCTCTTTCCTTTTCTTTCTCTTTTCTTTTCAACTCCGCCTTCTCTCTTTCTCTTTCTCTCTCTCTCTCTCTCGCCTCGTAAGTGGTAGAAGGATTCCTCTCATATCTGGGATTTGTTCTCACTATAAATAGAAGAGTGATACACAGAAGGGACCTGCTTTCTATCCACACACTCACACACTCTTAGGCACACATGGACACACACAGTGACGGACCAAAACATTGTCAAACAGCAGCACCGAGCTCTTGGATCTGTTTGATTTACACATCTTTTTTAAGCTTTTTATACACTACAATTACAGTGCAATGTTCTGATGACTAAACTAGTTTAACTGCAAGACCAAACTTCATTCAAAAAAATGAGCATTTAAGCATGACACACTCAAACACAAACCTGTCTGATTCTATGGTATTCACAAATGTTTATAATTTCGAGTATAGACATTTTCTGATGCATCTTTATCAAATCCTGACACTTGAGTCCTCAAAACACCCCTCCTAATCTTAGTGACTAAAATGGCACTGCCCTATTTCTGCTCTGACAATCACTCAAACACACACATAAGTGGTTATGCTGGTATGTCTACATTTAAACGCTGATGCACATCCACAGGCCCAGAGGGGAACTGTGATCTCACAGAGTTAAAGGTGTGTGTGTGTGTGTGTGTGTGTGTGTGTGTGTGAATGTGTGTGTGCTGTCTTACCTCCTGCCGTGCGTGGCTGCTCTGCCCTGCCTGCGCTCTCTCTGAGGTCCTCTTCGGCTACCTGACCTGTTTCCGCTCGCCCTGATTGGCTTGGAGACACACGGAACTCCTCCCCGAGTGGAATCCAACCCATCATGAGAGAAGTAAAATGAGTTTTTAGCCTGTGTGTGTGTGTGTGTGTGTGTTTCTGTCTATAGCCTGCACTTTTTTGATTTTTGTGCTGTCAGGTAAATGTTATTATAAAATGGATAGCTCAAATCAATAATAATAACTGTATATAATGGCTATGACGTCTATTTACTGCTGCTATTAGGCGAAACATTAAGCAAACAAAATAAGTGAGATAAAGGTGTAAATGTTATCATTAAAACAGTGTCAAAGGAGCAAGTCAATGAGATTTTGCAAAATTTCTCTGCCACTGTCAGAAACCGTAAAGGTAAGCTCTATGGCCTGAGCAGCTGTCTTGGTCTCCATGCTGGACTTAACCGATACATTAACAACCCAACACTCAGTCGGTCCTGTCTCTCCTCAAAGACACTCAGTTTACAATGTGCAACAGTTTATTCACCAGCGTTGTGAAAACTCGTACAAAGAAAGGACTCGACACAAAA